CAGAATTCTGACTTTAATCTCAGAATTCTGACTTTTTTCTCAGAATTCTGAGAAAAAAGTCAGAATTCTGACATTAAAGTCAGAATTCTGACTTTTTCTCAGAATTCAGACTTTTTTCTCAGAATTCTGACATTAAAGTCAGAATTCTGACATTAAAGTCAGAATTCTGACTTTTTCCCCATACTATACTGAAATAAAATAAAAAAAAATCAGTTAACTTTTCTTTTTTTTTTCAGTGGCCCTAATCCTCTTCCGTACATATACAGGTGATGAAGCAGACTGAAAATATTTTGTCATTGTCTCCTTCCTATCTCCTCTTTCTTTCATCTTTTCTCTTTTTTTTCCTTTTTCTTCTTCTGTTTTTCTGCTCTACTTACATTGCAGTGTCCATATAAACTGTAAAACTGCCTGCATAATTACAACAAAGCAATTTATAAGCATGAAAAAAGTGTAGCAATATGGCAATTGCCATACTGCTACACTTGTGAAAGTAAACTCTGTTGGGCTCCTTTTTGGCATCAAGACAATTATTCTTATTCCCAGACAGGACACTGTATAAAAAAAGAAAATAAAAAAAAGAAATTACTACAACCAAAATAATTTTTTTTATTATTGTTCGAAAGTTATATATTTTTAAGTATTCGCCAGTTTACAGCCAAATTGGTTAAAAGAGGCTAAAATCTTTAGTACAGGCATAAGTGTTTGAAATAATTGGAGCTTTAAATAAGGGGTTCTCTGTACCCCATGAAGGAAGCAAGACACTGAGTGGAGGGAGAGGAGAAGGAGGAAAAAGCTTTCATAATAAAAGTGATCTGATCCCATATGTATGGAGAGCCAAAAAATGTTCTGTGATACACAAATGTTAATGTCCCATTAAATAAATAGATATTCAACAGCATAAGCAGATGTAACATGTAGCTGTTTATTAAATAAATACTACATAAACAATAAAATTGTAAAATGCACAAGTAAATAATTAGATTTCCCCAGAGATAATTAAATATATTTTAAAGAAATATTATTCATATGTATGTAACATTACTTTATATGTATGAATAAATACATATTTATAGATGCATAAATATGTAAATATGTATAAATAAATATTAGGATTCTAGAATTTTTAATTCTGGAATTGTGCTGCTTAAGGTGACTGCAAGTGGTTCTGGTAGCTTCACCCTGATAGGTTTTTTTTTTTAGAAAAGCTTTGTTTTCTCCCTTTTTGGATCAGTTTATTTTTTCTGATCTTTTTGAGCTTATGGTGTCGAAAGCTGTGAAACTGGAGGGATTGTTACTGAGTTTTTTCCTCCTTTTTAGATACTTATCACGCATAGGAGCAGCTAATTAACACCTCTAGTGGTGAAATAGTACATAAATTACTTCCGCAAGTACCAGCTGAGTTGAAAAGGAGGTGCTGGGGTGTAGACCAGGAGCAAAATGACAAGAGAAGAAGAAGAAATTTAAGCCATCTCTTCCACCATCATAGGCAATCTGTGATATTTTGGAAACATGTCAGAAGCACTCCAAGCCCTAGCAAAAACCTAGCCAGAATATCGGCATCAAAAGAGCTTGTTGCCACCTGGGATGATCCACAGACTGAGAAGGATGCCTTCTTCTAGTTCTTCTTCTTCTAGTTCTTGAATGTTATGGTTGCAGCCATGTTTACTTGTGTAATTCCCGCCTTAAGAGCTGTAGCATCATGGACCGCCGATAGGAGGCAAGGAACCGTGATAGCATGACGTGTAATCAGTGTTGGGCACGTTTCTTTGAAAAAGTAATTAGTTATAGTTACTAGTTACTTCTCCCAAAAAGTAACTGAGTTAGTAACTGAGTTACTCTACAATAAAAGTAACTACTTAGTAGTAAAAGTAACTATTGCGTTACTTTTGCAAGTGTATGAAATTTATAACTGGGGATGTTTGGGTTGTTATAGATACTGCAACATGTAGCTATATC